TCTTTGAAATTTTTGGCGTGCCACATGTGGCACGCGTAGGTTGCCGACCCCAAAATTCATTTCTTTTCATGTGCCATGTTCTTTCAGAACGTTGGTAATCATGTCTCTCCACATCTCCTTCTAAAAATCCCTTCTTTTTATGTGCCATGTTCTTCCTGATGTGGGGCGATCATGGCACCTCACAACTTCCTGTCTTTTTTTGCTTTAAGTAATTTTTTGGACCCATTTTCTTCCTTATTTATCCTTATTCTTCTAAAATTACCTTCTTTTGTGCCATGTTCTTCATGATGTGGGCGATCATGGTACCCCACAACTTCCTGTCTTTTTTGCTTTAAGTAATTTTTGACCCATTTTCTTCCTTATTTATCCTTATTCTTCCAAAATTCCTCTTTTATGTGCCATGTTCTTCATGATGGGCGATCATGGGCACTCAAAACTTCCTGTCTTTTTGCTTTAAGTAATTTTTGACCCATTTTCTTCCTTATTTATCCTTATTCTTTTAAAATTCCTTCTTTTATGTGCCATTTTTCTTCATGATGTGGACGGAATCCAAATCATATCTTCCTGTCTTTCATGCCCTCGTTTTCCTTTTTCTTTTTAATTTCTATTCTTTTCTTTTGTTGGCTTTTCAGGACGTTTTTCACTCCTATTTTTTTGTTGTAAAACTTTTGACCCATTTTTTAATCGGCTTATCTTTTCTGCATCCAAAAATTTTTTTAAACTTTTTCACCAATTTCTTTATTTTATCGTTCTAAATAACTATTGAACTTTTATATACCTAATTTCTTCTTTTTTTCTTTCTTTTATATCCATTCACTTTTTTTAAACAATTTGTGTCATTTAACGTTGGGGATCAAAATTTTGAAAATCATTGAAAGTTTTATATTCATTTTAATTGTTTGTTTTAAAAACAGTCTTTATCGACTTAATTCTATAAATTAATAATTTTTCAGTGAAATTCATAAAAATTTTTTTTAATAAACCTGAAAAAAATTTATTTAAGAATTTTTATTTCTTAATAAAAGTTTGAAACATTTAGGTACACTTAATTTATCAATTCATAAAATCATTGCTTTCATGTAAATTTTTCACAATAAATTTAAAATTATTTTATTAAGAATTGATTAAATTTTAAAAGTGAATCCGAATTTATATTAAATAATTTTAATAAATTATTTATATTATTGTTTTATTTAAACATGAAAAAAAAATTCTATAAAAATAAACATATTTAAGGTTTTTTTTATATTTGAAATTTTGTAAAATAAAAATATTTAAATAAAAAATTGGAAAAATATTAAAACTAAATTTTGATATTTGGTTAAAATAAAACATCTAAAATAAACATATTTAAATCAGAATTCGAACCTTTTTCCTATAATATTTGTTTTTACGCTGACGTTTAAAAATCGGCCAACAATTAAATTCGGTACCAAGGTCGAATTTACTTATAATAAACAGAGCATTTACTTTAAATATTGTATCTATAAAACAACGTTAAACATAAATGTATTTATTAAATAAATTGTCGGAAATTGTCCATTTCTTAATATATGACGTCATTTGTTTACATTTGATACGCCAGAGCAGTTATGAATGTACGAGATTCATGGAAGATTGAAGTTTATAAGCAGTAAATTCGACCTTCCCAACCGAACGCTTCTTTGTGGCCGATCGGTAAGGCACGTCAGTGTAAATGACGGTTCCGTATAGGATGCAGGTTCGAATCCTGTCAAAGGACGAATATTTTCTATGAAAATTTCTCGGACATTCAGGCCGGTAAATGTTATTTAATACTGTTTATCATAAACAGAGCATTTACTTAAATACTTGTATCTATAAAAAAAAACGTTAAACATAAAAATGTCTTTAATAAATATATATCGGATTTGTCCATTTTCTTATATATATATATATATATATATAGTTATGTGTGTGTCCAGGTATGAGATAAGATTCAAAAGATATAATTCATCCATGTAAATAATTTAAATAAAAAGGACAATAATAAAGAGGTTCCATTATTAAATATTTATATATGGATTTAAATTTTTTGCGGATCATTTAAACAAAAAAAAACAAAAAAAAGAATTTTAATTATCAAATACAAAATCCGTTAAACATTTAAATTAACGTTTGATTAAAACAACATTATAATTCTCCTTAAATTGGAATAAAATTAATAATGTGCAAGTTATTATGTAACATATATTTATATTGATCCAGGTAGGTAATTATAATAAAAGTGGACACATTGTTGTTAATACATTTCTATAAATCCTTTTAAATATTTGTTTTAACCTATTAAATCTTTTCTAGGATTTTATTCTTGAAAATCATTTTACCATAAATCACAGTTAATATTGATACACACAGTTTTTTCACAAATAATTGGTTATATTTTTCTTGGGCAGAAGCCTCATTTCTATTTTATTTGATTTGGAAATATCTCCTCTTGGTTGAAAATAATTGGTATATATTTGTTTTGAAATGAAAATTAAGATTTTTTACTCATCTGCTGATTACTGATAATTTCAAAATTGCTAATTTGCCAAACATATTCTTTATTTCTTTCAAATGATTATCTGTTTTGTGTTGCATATTTTCATGTTATAATATATATAAATGTTGGATTTTGTTTATGTTTATACTATATATATTTATATATTTATATATATATATATATATATATATATATACATATATATAAAACATATTTATATTTATAAGTAAATAAAATTTTTTTGATTTGTCCACGAAATCCTGAAAGACAAAAACTCTGTAATTTTTTTTTTTAGTTTATTAAAATCTTCAGTCTTTATTTCAAACAAGAATTTAAAAGAATCTTGATTCATGAATTCATCATAAGTTATGTCTATAAAAAAAGAGTTCCTAGTTCTAATTGTTGACGTGATTCCTAAGACTTTGAGAATCTAGCCACCAAAAATTTGGTTCTCATTTTTAATTTTAAATAAAATCATTTTCCTCTCATTTTCATTTCTTGACTGATGCTAACCTCCCGAAATAAATTGTACGTGAATGTACGTCAGAGATTCATGGAAGATTGAAAAATTTTATACAATAAAATGACCTTTTTCAAAAAATTTATTCTCTGTGGCCAAATCGGTAAAGGCGTCTATGCATTAAAATCAGTTCCATATATATACAGGTTCGAATCCTGTCGGAAAAATATAATTTTCTATTCAGGCCGGTAAAAATTTTTTAATATGTTTATTATAAACAGAGTCAAATTTAAATATTTATATCTAAAAAGAATGTATAAACATAAATGTCTATATATAAACCTTTATTTGAAATAAAATTAAGTCCTTTAGAAACATCTTAAGTTCCTTTGTCGAACGTAAGTCTTTGCAGATATATATAATACATTTTTTAAGTATATCACCGCATAATTTCTCTTCATAAAAATATTTGCAGAAAAGACATTCTGAAAATTCATTTAAAAACTCTGAAAGTGACTGCAGACGAGTTACCAGATCAGGACCTATCACATTGTTATATCCGTTTCTGGATTTTGTCGAACCTCGGTCGTATAAATGAACAGCAAAATTCATCACCAGACCAACAGTATTCAATATAAATACGAATGTTTGATTATCTTTTTTAAAGGATGGACTCAGGCGAGATAAACCTTCTGGCGCGACACAGTGAACCAAATTTCCCTGCGGTAGATGTAGCTATTGATTCAATGTAGTTGTTCCACCCCAGGTCAGTGGAAAGCGTGAGACCAAGCGGTCGAAGAGAGACGCTTTAATCAGTTAAGGAATTGCCATTCTGATATCTCAAATCCATTTTTTCAATGGGCTTGTTGTTGAAAGTCCTTTAGTGATGTGGTTTCTCTCTATTTGGTACGGTTCTTTCTTTGTGATTTTGTTCAAGTAGACTTGTGTAATTCAAATAAGAATGGTCTTTGTCAATGATCCAACTGCTTCACCCACTCGATCTTCTAACTATTGATGTCAAGAAATCATTTATATAAAACAATTTAATATTTTGAATGGTTTTGATATCATGGTTTATGGATTCTTATGAAAACAAGATGATCTAACAAGACTAATTTAAAATATATGAATCAAGCTCAATAGTTAATGTTTTTAAATTTAAATAATTAGCGGTGTTATATAGTAAACTATCTCATCTCTATGCAAGATTTTTATTCAATTTCTTATACTAAATTTGTTATAACATATCCATACATATAAATGTTAAAAGAGAACGCGCTATATTAAAACAGATCTTATAACGTCAAAGATTTCAGTGTATAAAACTGCCAATGTGACAAAGAACTTATTCCTGATTTTAAAGAATGTAGTATTTATTTTTAAAAAAAGAGAAAAAAAAAACGAACTGTTAGCTAAAAGTGGTAACTAGACCGAGTTTAAGAAACATGCTGTTGTTCAAAGTTTGTTGGCACTAGAAAAATCTTTTATTAAATCATGTTGATAAAACCACAGATGTATCATTTCTTTTTCTGCAAATTGATTTCAAGGCCTGTTCTGTTGTGATGAATTGTTGATGCAAAAAAAAAAAGTCGACTGTAATGTTAATTAATATCACTAAAAGTAAATATCTCAGCTGAGAAATTCATTTCGTTAATATACAAATTTTTGAACAATCTAGTTTTAAAATTAAAACAGAACAGAAAACTTACAGAACTGGTCAAAAAATTCTTGATACGATAGAACAATGATAAAAATTAAATGTTTGAATATTGAATACAAATATTTTCAAATTTAAAAAGTGTCATTATATAAATTTGGCCGCGATATTCTCGCATCCGATTAGTTTCCTACTTCATTTAATGTTCATAGTCTCAATTAAATTTTTAGAATGTCAATTGGGATATCTGATTTTTTTTGGAAAATAATGAATGTTGAATATTTTTTAAAAATTTTTTTCAATACATGAATTTCAGAAAACTATTTCCGGGAATAATGGATTGTTATTTTTATTTGAAAGAAGGAAACATTATTCGCAAAATGCCGAAAAGAACTTTGAAATTTGTTGTCCTTAAAAAGGCGGCAACTGAAGACATTCCATCTGGTCAGAGAATAAAATTACTGCCGAAATATTTGATTCTTATTTTTTTAAAATTGGTTTATGGAAAAAAGAATTATTACGAATTTAATGCAAAGATAATTTGTCCTTTTTTTCTGGTCACCTAACTAAAACTGACTGCAACCCCTTGATTATTATATTTTGGGCGCATTCATCAAGAAACCAAAAAATAAATTTATATATATTAGATATTCATGACTGAAAACAAGGATTTAAATATTTCTATTAATTCAACAACTTAAACAAGGAGAACATATTTATTCATCCACAAAAAAAATTATATTCCATTTGTCTGGAATTATGTGGTTGAAAAAATGGCGATTTTATTGAATAAATTTACTATTTAAATGTTTAAAAGATTTTTTTTTTTTATTTGCTCAAAAAAATATTTAAAATTTATGTCAACATTATTTTTAATTGTTTGTTTTTAGAAATGACAGTTTATTCATCGAAAAAATAATTTTTCGAAAAATTAATGACATATATTTGTGCTTCAGTTTTTAATCGGATATTCGATTTTTAAAATCTATTTTCTATATTGATTAAAAATTTCTATTTATATCCATTCTCAAATGACATTAATTGTTTCAAAAAGTCATTTTTCTTTTCTATTTTTTCAAAAGTTTTAAAATTTTGTTTAATGACTTTGTTCTCTTGTTTGGGGTGAAATGATTGAAAGTTTTTCTATCCATCAATATATTTTCTATCATATCTATCTATTCATAATTTTGGTTCCAGAGTTTCAATGATATATATAGTTTGATATCTATCTATCTATTTTCCTATTTAAGTATATTTTTATCTATCTATCTATCTATCTATCTATCTATCTATCTATCTATCTATTTTCCTATTTAAGTATATTTTATCTATCTATCTATTTCTATCTATCTATTTTTATCTATCTATTTTCCTATTTAAGTATATTTATATCTATCTATCTATCCATCTATCATATCTATTTTCCTATTTATGTATATTTTATCTATCTATCTATTTTCATTTAAAAATATATCAATTTTCTATCTATTATTCCTATTTTCTAATCAATTATCTATTTTTATCTATCTATCTATCTATCTATTATCTATCTATCTATCTATCTATATCTATCTATCTATCTATCTATATGTTTCCATTCATCTATTCATTTTATCTCTCATTATCATATTTATCTATCTATCTATCTATTTATCTATTCATCTATCTATTTTGATCTATCTATCTATCTATCTATCTATCTATTCATCTATCTATCTATCTATTTTCCTATTTAAGCATATTTTTTATCTATCTATCATTTTTCATATTTAAAAATATTTTTATTATCTATTCATCTATTTTTCTATTTTATCTATTCTTTCATCTATCTATCTATAAATCTATCTATTCATATATCTATATCATCTATCTATCTCAGCCTATTTATATATCTATCTATCTATCTATCTATCTATCTATCTATCTATTCATCTTTATCTCATCCATGTTCCTTTTTCTTCATCTATCTATCTATTCATTCATCTATCTATCTATCTATCTATCTATCTATCTATCTATCTATCTATCTATGTCTGTTCAGTATCATGTATTACCTTGTATTTTTTTTATAATATTTATTATTATGTACAAGGTCGGACCGGAAAATAATTACTGATTTTGAATATCTCAGCTTCCTATCTTTCATGTCCTGTGCACCTTTTTAGAGCCAAACACCACATCACCTAATCATATAGCCTACAGTTAAATTCGATCATTGAGTGTGAGAAGATTTCAAACCAGAAGCATTTGTTGAGAAAAGTAATAGTAATTAGTAAAAGTAATAGTAATAGTAAAAGTAATCTAATAGCAAACAGTATCAAGAAGGGGGCAGTGCATTTGGATAGGTGTGTAAGGTCCTAAAAGGGGTACCTTGAAAGTATTAAGGTGTTATTATCCTTGGTAAAATATCGTTTCGTAAATGTTAAATAACTTGATAATTTCAGGAATGACGTCATATTATTCTAAGTTATTTATAAGGTATATTAATTACATAATATTACTTTTTACTCAAATTCTTTCTGTAACTGATTTTTTCTGACTTTTAAAATGCTAAATTTATAGTCTAATAGGATTTACTTAAAATATTTTATTTTGGACTTAAGACATAGATAGTTAAACAATACTATCTGTAATTTAAAATATTTCTAAAAGTTTCAAAACGTTATGTCGGTAAATTTTAGAAATGAGATATATGGATTAAGAATAAAACAGACTAACAGATAGATAGGTACTGACGGAGATACATACATACATATATATATATATATATATATATATATATATATGCAACATATATGTGTGTGTGTATGTGTGAGTGTGTATTGAGGAAAATACGATCATAATAGCCTCATCCATATCTAAAAATGGCTAAAAATAATAGGTGCATTAATAATAATAATAAAAAGTCAACACTCAGTAGCATCAGTCATATCCACAACTTCGTAATCACGTTCTTTTTAAAAATTCAATCTCTATAGATACACATATATAAAAAAAAACTTCATATTCAGTTAAAAAAAGAAGGCGAAACATCCATGATAATCGCTAATAGTCGAAAGCGTACGGATATATAGAACATTTGGAGAGTTTTTACACAAATTTATGTCCAAAAAAAGAAAACACTTGTACAAAAGTAAGATAAATTGAATGAAAGTTTAATCGCACTACCTTCTCAGTTGGTTTTAATGAAACTTGTATAAAAGAGGGATTGCTGCCCAAATACACAATATACTCACTATAACACCCCCACCCCCCCAAAAAAAATATATATAGTATCAAACTACTAGATTTCATCAACACATATGAAAAAAAAATCCCGCAGATAAGTTTGACTTTAATTTATTTCTTGCAATTTAAAATAGAACATTCTGATTTTTTAATTTTTAATTTTACACAATAAATATTCATATCCTTATAAACAATTGTTTTTTTTATTATTGTGATTTTCTTTTTCTCGAATTTCTTTCATAGGTCTATTATATCCACACACACACGCAATAATATATATATATATATATATATATATATATATATATATATATATATATACTGTCATCCACAGACAGACTATTTCACCGTTTCACAGCTCATCAGTGTGGCTAGACATCCGATTGTCTCAAGCCGGGATCGAAACCTTTCAGTCGGAGATTTTAACTAAGGGGTAACGGTGAATTTAGACGTATTTATTTTTAAACAAACACGCCAGTGACTGGAGAACTCTATTCGTCTTACCGCAGCAGTAATAGTCATTGTTTACAAATTATCTTTTATCCCTTTTGCTCAGGTGAAAGGAGCATATATACATGCATACATATATATATATATATATATATATATATATATATATATATATATATATATATATATATATATATTAAATTTTCACTCTTAGTTAATTAAATTTCTTTAAAAAAATTCTTACAATTAACAATAACACATTTCTATACACAATTTATCGGATTACATCTATATTTTCGTTATTACCGAGAAGTAAAAATACAAAAACAAATCAATTTCCATACCTGAGGATGTCTGTAGGAACAGACGAAAGCTTGTAAAAACTAAAAAAGACCTTATGTAACTGGAATTTATAAACAGGGATCATAACATTCATATACAGGTTTGGGGTTAATGTACTTTATCAAAATTGTTTGCGAAGATGTATTCTCGCCATTTAAATCATTAACTTCTATATCTGTTTTTGTATGAATGATTCATGTAATGTAAATTGAACTGCACCACATACTTGATTATATATATATATATATATATATATATATATATATATATATATATAGATTATTTAAGAGGATATCCGTATAATAGGGCGGCTTCAGGCACATTTGTTTTTGTTGGTTTTATAGATCCCACCTGCCTATTTATTTTAAAAATATTTTGAACAGACCTTGTTACAGAGCCTGTTTTATCTAGTCATTCACAAACCAAAGTTATGACCAGATTTGTTCGTCCGAATTGTTTAATCGGGCATATAAACCCGAACAGAAATTAATATTAGTCACGAAATCTTTCCTCTAGGCATCTATCAAATAAAAAAGAAATTTTGCAAAATATTTACGTAGCAGACGAAAACGTCATGATCTAAAACCTGCATCTACGAACACAAATACAGATTTATTTAAAATCTTTTTTAGACAATACTTTCAAATTCTCTCGTATTAAATTAATGAAGGTATCTTTCTCAATAACGGACCGTATGGTGAGAGTGAGAGAAAGAAAAAGAAAAGAGAGAAAAAATCAGTTTGAGATAAGTCATTTGAAATATAGTTCATAGATACGAGATGATAGAATTATGAAAAAACAAAGGAGAAATAGATAAATAAAATAATATCTTATATTAAAAAGATGCTACCTATATAGATGTATTCATATCTCCTACTTAAAAGCATCATGGCCCGGCGTTTTCTTTGCTTGTACCGATTATATAAAATCGCTATCACTTTGAAAAATTTTTGCTCTTCCTTGAATTTAAAGGAGTCCCTTGCCGTGCTGATGTTGTTTGCCTTAAAAAATGCCTATCTCATACTGCGAATTTTTCTGAGCTCTATACTAAACATTAAATCTGTTACGAAAAAAGAACTAAACAAAACAGAACACAAAACGATCAGCTTTAAAAAAGGACTCGTAACTGGAAAAACCGAATGAAAAAAGAGGATGTTAACAACAAATACTTTTTCAGAACCCAACCCAGTTCTGCGGAATCAGAATCAACAATGAGTTTAAGCAAGCGAATGAGCCAAATGGAGTAAAGTGCCATGCAGTTTTAACTTTTTCCCACTTGACTTGACGAATGCAGCTATCGATTTTTTTTACATGCTAGCTAACATTCTGTCAGTCAGCTGTTGGCTTCTCAAGACTGGCCAATAGAATCTTCCTGCCTATTCGTGGCAGCCATTTATTAGGTATGGAATAGGCCATTATGAAAATGGCCGGTAACTACATGAAAATATATATATATATATAAAAATATATTATTTATATATATATGGGAGTTGGGAAATGCAAAGTCGGTGTTGGTCTTCCCAAACAAAAAAAGAGCATGTGCATGTATATTTTGGTGCAAATCCGTCAAAATTATTCATGCATTCATTACACACACACACACACACACACAATGTTTACACACACACACACACATCCTGCCTTTTATAGATAGAAATATTAACAACTATATAGTGATGATGATATAAATAACTTATTTGATCCTTTATAATTTCTACAAAAAATCAATTGTGTTAATTTAATCTTTTTTGTGTTTGACAATCCCTTAGTCTGAATTCATTAAAATGAATCAAAGAATTTTGAATACAAACAAATGGAAAAGAAAGATTATTTTGCCAACCGTCTTTACTAAACAAATGCTAACATATTTCTCATTATGGATGGCTGTCATCTCGCTAAACGAGTGTATAAATTTTACTGATTCATTTGAGACAAAATTTGTATTTTGAGCCTGATTTGTTGAAGCCTTTGAATCCATATTTTTGAAAAAGTAGATTTTTTAAATTTCCCCCAAGAAAATTTTTGACTAATTTCACATTCATGCTATTTTTGTTTGATTTTGTAAAGTGAAAGTGAAAGTGCAATAAAAACTGAAAAAAATGAGGATTGATGAAAAGATAAAAAACGAACAAAGTTCAAGAAGATAGATATGGCATTGAAAAAATAATTAAGCCATGTCATGTTGGCATAATAAATTGACTTACATTTTGAGATTGTTTGTCAGGATAGATTACATTAATAATCCATCATTGGATTTTGTCAATTTTGTTAATTGTAATAATGAATAATAATATAATCATTAATATAAAAATTTAGGTTATACATTCTTTTAAATTGTTTTATCCCAAGAAAGGTTGAAAAATGTCATCGAATAACAAGTCTTGAGGGTTTTCTAAACGTTAAAGAAAAGTGTTGCTAACGAGGACCGTAGATTATTGAATAACAAAGACAGAATAAAAATTGGCTTTAAAAAAATAAAAAATAAAATTTTTTAAATGAACGCAATAAACGGTTAAACTTGTTGCACAATAAGGAAATGGAAAATAAACTGTTTTATTTAAATATATTCTGGTTTAATCTATTTATATTCAACATTAAAATGGTGGTACCTAGATGCCAGTCTATTAGCATGCTTAAATTCATGTAGTTTTGCACAATGGAAAAAGCTCATCAGAACAGTTGCCATGAAACTATTTGTAGAAAAGACAGAAGGAAGCGACATCACATTGATGAGAAAGTGACTGAAGTCGAACTGTCTAGTCAGGATTGATTAGATTACAGACGGCTTTTTTTGGATTTTAATACAAGAATATGAAGAAGCATAGTCCTCAAATACAGTCTCCTATTCAATGCATGGTCGAAATTATTTTTATCAATGTGCAAGATGGATCATGATGAGAAAAATTTTTTTGGTATGACAAGCCTCTTACCAACTTTATTGCTATAGATAAAGAAATTAATTTGATGTAACTGACATCTCTTCATGTCAAGGAAAATGTATATAAGAAGGCATAGTATGT